TGAGAAACAAAGGGCACGAGCTTCACAAAGAAGATGGAGGTACTCTGAGGAAAGATAGGAGACAAACAGACGCGGAGGTGTGTGTCGTGGGGATACATACGTCCAGGAGTTTGTGACTGTTTAGCTTTGCCCTTTTCACATCTGAACACCCATCAGTCACAAGGGAATATGCTGACCCCACCTCTTCCAAATACCAAGTTATTCTGGAAACCAGGCTCAGAATTCAAAGGCCATCCTGACCAATATCCAGCCAGCTTCCATGGCTGTGATTCAGCTGTGCTATGTGGACTCTGGGTTCCAATTCCATCCTCTACTTACGAGCATTCCTGGTTGGCCTCACGCTGGTAAGCGTTAATGGGGAGCAGAAAACCTAGGTTCCAACCCTGGCTCTGCCACTCACTGATTTATATGATCCTGGACATGTGACTTAACATTTCCTGTGCCTGGGTTAGTTCAACTCCAAAATACGAGCCATTAAAAACTACCCAACTGACTTCAAGAGGTAAGCAGAGTTGTAAAGATGGAATGAGGTCATGGGTAAAAGATGTATCGATGAGCTGTGAACTTTAAACATACGAAGAAGTATTGTGGTTGGTCGTGGTATTATTTACTGACTTAATAGTTTCTCAACCTTCAGGGCACTTTAAAGTCATCTTGGAGGTCACAAAATACCACCCACTAAAACCAGTTAAATCAGAAACTCTAGGTGATAGAACTGTGGCATTGGTATTTTTATTTTAACCCAACATTTTATTATGGATAGTTTTATACTGAAGTAGAGAATAATATAATGGATTGTTTCACCTCCTTTCCCACCCTCTTCTCTACATTGTTAACCTATATTGTTTTTGGAGTAACTCACAGTGGTGTCTCTTTTTGGGGAGTGGGGTGTTAGTATCTGCTTGTTTATTTTGTTTTGTTTTTAAAGCTCTCTGGTGATTCTAATGCGTAACCAAGTTTAAGAATCACTGATTTTAATCATGATCATGAGCAAATGCTGTAACGTTTCATTTCTTCTTTTTGATTTGATTTTATTTTTTTAACCAACTTAGGAAAGTGAGAGGCCTTGTGAAATTTCAGAAATCTTCGACAATCCCAGGATAGTGGAGGTAAGAACTCTTGGTTATAATCACTACACATCATTCACACAGTCACCAAGCTAAGGGTCTTAAAGCCTTCCGTGTACAGGAGAAGCGCAGGTGGACGAGAGAGGGCGGTGAAACTCAAGCACAGAGGAGGTTCTCATATTTTTATTGGCTGGACAGGAGTTCAAGGGTGATTTGATATTAGAAAATCAATTTAACATCACTTATGTCACTGACAAAAGAAAAAAGTCATGTGACCACCTCAAAAGGAGAAGAGAATTAAACAATAATTAAACAGCCATTTGTGATGTGAACACAGCAAACGAAAAATTTAATGGAAACTCTCTTAACTTGAAGGAAGACATCTTTTAAAGAAAATACAGCAGATATCATACCTAAAGGTAAAGTGTTAATGGATTCTCTTTAGGATTCGAAACAAGCAAGAATGCTCATTATTACCGCTTGTATTCAGCAGTGTCCCTTGGGTCCCAGTCAATGCCGTAGGATGAGAAGAAGAAGCCGTTAACTCAGCGGGAGGGAGCCCTTTCACAATGTATATATTATCAAAGTCACACCACACTGTTTAACTATCTTACAATTTTATTTGTTATTTATATCTCAATAAAGGTGAAAATAAAAAGAAATAGAAAGTATAAGACTGGGAAAAAACAAACAAAGACTGTAATTATTTGCAGACATGATTGTCTACATAATAAAGCCAAATTACAGATACATTATTAGACTTAACAAGAGATTTTTAACAAGTTTACTGGCTATAGAATCAATATACAAAAGTAATTTGCATTTCTGAAAAATCAATAATAATCAATTTGAAAAAATAATTTTAAAAAACATTTTGTAGTGGCGATAAAAATATGTAGAATATTGAAGAGTCAATGTAACAAAAACATATAACCCCTTTATGGAGAGTAATAAAACTTTAGTAAAAGATATTAAGTAAGAATGAAATAATGGAAGTTTATGTACAACACTCCTGGATAGGAAGACTCGAGAGCGTGCAGATGTCAAACAACCTCAAATTCATCTGTGTAAGGAATGTAGCTCCAGTATAAACCCCAACAGGTTTTTTTTTTTCATGGAACTTAATACAGTGCTTCTAAAATCTACATGGAAGAGGATAGAAAAAATTTAAATACCAATGAACAGATAGGACAAATAGACAACAAATAGGAAGATGGTAGATTTAAATCCAACCATATAGCAGATTAAAAGTAAAAAGACAGAAGAAGAGACGCCATGCTAACATTAAACAAAAGAGAGTTGAGCGGCCCCCAAGCCCTCCCAGGGCAGCAAGCTCGTGCAGTCACAGGTCTCTCCTCACTTGCTTTCTGTCTCTCAGGGATCCCGCCCTTCTTTGCCTGATGCCCAATATCTTGAAAGCTATTGTTTCAAATATTTTGTCTGGTGTTTGGTTGTCTCAGAGGGAGGGTAAATCTGGTTGCTGTTTCTCCAACTTGGCCAGAAGCAGAAGTTTTTGCTGTATTTTTTCTAAAGCTATTTGTTTTCTTAGAATCCCAGGGGGTCACCCACACATGGAAAGAATGTGACGGGAGCAGACGCAGCCCACGTCTTCGTGAAGACCGAATCGGGAGGCGAGGAGCCCTTGCGTGACCCTTACCGTCCTGCTGTGGAGATGAAGAGAAGAAGGGGACTGTGGTGGCTTATTCCCCGGCTGAGCCTGGAGCCGGACCAGAGCTAAACACACAGGGGTTTGGAGTGAGGAGAGATGCTAAGCTCCTTCCAAACCAACCCAAATTGATTTGAGGTTCTGGACTTTTCTCTTTAGGGGGCAGATCTGATAAGGCTCATTCCAACTCTCAGATCGGTGGTTTAATAAGCAGTGAAGTCACTGTGCATCCGAAAGGAGCCCTTGGATCCTGTTCTTGACCCCAGTGGGAATTTGCTTTTCTTTGCTATTTGGGAAGAGGGGTTTGATTTCTCAGTGTCTTGCCTCCTCGTTTATTTTCACATCCATTTTCTCAAAAAAGCCATCAGACCTGGCTTCCACGGGAGGGTTGGCCAAGGCTAGCACGGTGCAAGTTGGGATATAAATGAAATTTAAATGTGTGAGGAAAAGCAGTTTCTTATTTCTGAACAGCTCAGGGTAAAAATCACATGGGGCCACACGTTCCCTGAGCACAGAGGCAGCACGTGGCTGGGTCATTCATCCCTCCCACGTGTGATCAGAGGATATGTAAGGAAAGCAGTTCTACAGTGGCCTCTGTGTGTGTGTGTGTGTGTGTGTGTGTGTTGAGGGTAAACAGGTTGGAGGGAAGGCAGAGGTTGTTTCAAAAGATGATTTGAAATGAGGGCCGTACCCATTTTGTGGGAGTGGAGAGAAGGGCCCGAGTCCTTGGACTGTCACCAGGAGAAGCTCATTAGCAGGGAGAGAGGTCAAGCGGACTCTGAGTGGATGAACACAGGACCAAAGGGCAGTGTGACTGTCGTCTCAGGGAAGCCCCAGCTGGCTAACCATCGCTCCCGTGAGGAGGCTCCTGGGAGTGCTGGCTCCCCTATGCCGTCCACTGCCGCGAGCACACCGCTCTCCTGGTGGGAGAACCCGGGTCCAGGGCATCTTGGGGTCCACCCACCAGCTCCATGCATCACGTTGATCTGCTGTGGAAACACTCCTTTCTGACACAAGGCCCCTGATTGCTCAGAAGCACACTCTCTCTTCTTCAGATAACCAAGGGCAGGTTCTACAGACCCAACCACTGCCACACGCCAAAAGTGCTTTTCAGATCTCCTGGTGGAACTGTTTTGTGCCGAGTGCCTGGGGCCAGTCACCTTAACGAGCAGATTGGGCGTTTTCAAGCAGACACGCCCAGGGCTCCAGGAGCTTGTACTGCTGTTGCCCGCTGGGAAGGACCTTGGGCTTGCTGAGAACAGGACTGTGGCCTTGGCCTGGGCACTCAGGTGCGAACAGTGGGGCAGATCACGGGGCCTCAGCTCTGTCTGTGCAAAGCGGAGACAGCCGTTCTCAGCCTCTTACCCTTAGGGCTGTTGTGAGTCTGAGCGGACATGCCCAAGTGAATAAGCCTTGTGGTCTGTAAAGTGAGATGTGACTTGTATTTTGGATCATACGTCTCAATTCTACTCACAATCCATTGCTTGGAATCTTTGTTTTACATGACTTCTACTAAACTAGCAAGGTTCAGTACTTCTGTCATCTTTTTCTGCACAAGAACCTATTTTGGAATAAAGTGAACAGTACAACGGTCATTCTCGTGCACCAGCAACGTGTCTGTGTTTCTCTTTGCCTGTATTAAAGTGTGCGACATGGGTGGTAATCAAGGTTATCCCGGGGGTATTCCTGGTGCTGGCGCTTTCTCAGCTGGGCTGACGAAGGAGATGCTCAGTCCTTCACGGAGGGCAGCCCACGTTGTGAGGAAACGCTGAGACTGGAAGTCAGAAGCCCTGGTTCCCCAGCCTAGGGCCGGTCCTAGCTTTGGGAGGACCTTGGACCAGTCGTGTAATTAATAGGGACAGAAGGCATATCAGCGTATCAGCGGCTGCTGGGGCTGGTGGGGTGAGGAAGGGTGGGTGGGAGCGATTACCAACGCCACAAAGGACCCTCGGAGGTAATATGTTCTCTATCTTGATTGTGGTGATGGCCGCAGGGGTACGTTACACACCGACACGTCAAATTGTACACTTTAGGTACACAACTTAGGGTAGGTCAGTTTTACCTCAATTAAGCTGCTTTTTAAAAAATGACATCCACATAAAGCCACAATCTCTTGTTCTTCATTCAGCATTTTTCCAGGAGAACAAGAGGATATGGGAGTGTGGTTGGTGGCCTGGAAGGACAAATACAGTTATTCTCTGGAGAACTTGGAACTAGACAAAAATAGATTCATGTCCTCAGTGCCCAAAAGGTGGAAAGAAATCCACTCGTAAGAGCTTTCAGTGTCGGCCTGACCTGAAGACCTGAAAAGCTTCCAACGCCACATGCACTGCAGAAGCATTTTACCCCAGAGAAAGACAGGGCGAGTAACCCAAACTGGGGGCAAAATTAGGATTACTTTAAACCGAGGTTTAGGAAGATCTGAATTCCCTGAAGTAGTATGCAGACTGTATGTGTATAATCACTACTCTGGGGGGAGATTCCTTAATTCCCTTCAGATTCTCAAAGGGATCTGTGACACCCCTCTGAACAGTTTTAAATATAAACGGTGATTATTACAGTTGAAGGTTAGTGACAAAGATGTCAAATTAAACCTTTCTTAAACACCTTTTTGCCACACTTTTAATACAAACTGATTTGAAATTAGTAATGGTTGTGCCTTGTTAGTTTAAGAATTCTATTTCTATAGAAAAAAGAAAATGGAGTGAAAAAAATTAACCTTTCCTATATAGATGCCTGTTTTCATGAAAATCCTGAAGGTTATTTGCTAAGAATACTTAATAGGAATTACAGGTAAGAAGCTTGAGTGTGAGTTTTGCTGTGTTTCACATTAGATGCATCATGTTGGAAAATCATTCAGCCCCAAGGAAGATCCTGCCTATTACCATTACTATATTATTATTATTATTATTATTATTATTATTATTAATTATTATTATATCATCATCATTAATTTTGCAGCAAGGAGGTAGAGATGGTACAGGTTACTATAACCTCACCTCTTTCTGCCTCGTGCTCCCTAGGTTAGGAAAGGCTGAAACACTGTACAATTTTTCAGACTTGTTTCTTGTGAAAATACTGTCCCCTACATACCAGGGACATGTAGGATGCAAAATGCATTGCAGGCCACCGTCCTCTTCAAATCCAAGTGCGCTACAGTGAGGGTCATGAAACTTCTCCATTGTTTCCAGCTTCAGTTATCAAGCTGGATTTCTTTAAAGAACAGTATGTTTCTGGATTTACAGCGCCAGCCCGTATGAGATGACTGATTTATCTTAATTCATATGCCTGCCTTTCTGGGAAGCAGTCTCCAGGTGCCTGAACTACGGCCAGATTATATGAAAAAGACTAATCCCTATTATATTAATAGCACGCATTTTAGGTTTCAAAGCATTTTCCGTTTGTTATTTTGTTTAATTTTTACACCAAACCCTGGAGGTAATGCGGTGTGGGTGTTATTACTTCTGCCCATTTTACAGATGAGAAAACCGGGGCTCTGCAAGGTAATTTTATTGATCCTGGAGAATGTAAATTGCTTTGAGGGATGATTTAAGTTTGCGGGAAAGAGGAGTTAAGGATAATGAGTTTAATTGATAATTGAGGAGTGTTTCTGTACTATTATGGTTCTTTTATATACATGCTGGAGGGATGGATTTTAAATACTCACAGTCATGTGAATTAATTGATAAAAACTGCATTCAAAACAGATAAAAGTGACCCCCATTATGGCTCCCATAGAAAGAAAGATCAGTGAATACCCAAAAGTCCCCTTAAAGTAGCCCTTGACGTCCAAGAAACTTCAGAGTCATGGGGTCTTGGGCTCCAGTCACCCTTGGCGTGGTGCTTAGAGAGTTTCGGCTGGTGTGGCTGGTGTAGCTGGTGCTGGGCAAGTCCAGACAGGCTCAGGTCTGGGAGTCCAAGAGCCAGGACACTGGTCCTAATCTTCACCACCTTCTATTCTGGCTTCAGGAGCTTTGTACGTACTGGTGTCAAGTACTGCAGGTGAAATAATGACTGTACTTAAACAACACCTCCCCCACGGTAATCACTACCTTGTTCTTTGATCCTTCACAATCCGAAGGATCCCAGCTCAAGCACTTTGCCGCATTATCTCATCTTATCCTCCAGCAAATGAAAAAGGAGGAACCATTATCATCTTGATTTCACAAAAGAAGAAATTGAGGCTCAGAGAGGTTAGGTAACTTGTCCAAGGTCACACAGCTAGTAATTAGGGGCGGTTGGCCTGTGTGCATATTTTCTGCCGAATCAACAAAAGCTCTGGCATTAACTGTGTGGCTTTGAGCAGGCCAGTGCCTCTTTTCTAGACCTTGGCTTGTTACCTGCAGAACAAGAAGAGTGGACTAGAGGGTTTCCAAGGCCCTGCTCAATATACTCGGGCTTCTTTCTCGATTTGCCTCTGATATAGTACTTGCGCCGACGGTTCCTTTTATATGCCACCAGAGGGCGCTCTGCTCCCAAAGCAGGAGGCACTGGGGAAGGCAGAGTCCCTAATAGTCACCACCCTAATTATTAATTGATGGGGTTTGCTAGCTCTCGTGTCTCTGCTGTCGTCATGAGAAGGACAGGGCTGGTCCCAGGAGGAGGACGAGGGACATGAGGAGCAGAGCCCAGCCTAGCTCAGCCAAATACCCAGCCAGTGTGCAGATCTGTGCTGTTTTAAGTCATTGAGTTTGGGGATGGTTCGTCATGCTGAATTTTTGGCAATACTGATACACACCCCACCCCTAGGTTCCAACACCAAGAAAGAAAGGAAGGAGGCTCCTTTCTGTACCCAGGATGGGGCATCCAGCTTCTTTTCTCTACGGTGGTCCTGCGTCTCCCAATCTCCTCTTCCCTGGGGGGCTGGAAGCTAAAGACAAGGATCATCGTGAGGCCTCCCAGCTCTCCAGCGGGCTGAGGACACAGAAGCAGCTGGAACAGCTGGCCTTTCGGGTCCCTTCAAGCACAGAGTTGCTGCCTTCTTGGAGGAGGCAGGAGGTCCGAACGGGTCTACAGACTGGGAGTTCTAAAGGCTGCCTCCACCAGGGAGGCCTCCCTTCCCTTGGGTGCCCTCAGATGAAGAGGGCAAGAGAGATGGTCCCCCTGAGAGACACCGGGCCACTGAGCACCAGAGAGAGACTCCGAGGTGGTGGTTTAGCTACCTTCTGAGTGAAAGCAATGGGAATACATCCCATATGCGGCCTTGTGCCGGGACACCTAGGGACATAACTCCAGGTGATGGGGGAGGAGCAGGCTCTGACCTGAGCTGAGAGTCAAGAGTCAGCCCCACCTCTTCCAAAACTCCAGAAGGGACCCACAACCCTCTGTGGAATCTGATCTTCTAATTAAACCTGTCTCACCTCTCAAGGTAAATTTTAAACTCTTTATTCTTTCCTTTTGTTACACTTTAGTTTAAGAATATTTTTAAATATTTGAGTGAAAAAAAAAGACTCCACCATCTTGTTTCCTCTTGTTCTTACTGGAAATACACAGTGATTCAGCTACACTGTGGGCAAAGTGGGCTTTGATGAGCTGCCCCGGAAACGAGCCACCAACTACAACACTGTTACTATGGACAATGCATTGTGAATTCTGAGCAACAGTCCTACAAACGGCCTATCAGAGCACAGCCTTTGCCGGGTGGTGCCTGATCATGTTTCCAAAACTATTTATTTCTAGAAGCAATCTTCATTTCAGTAAGAATTAAAGAAACTCGAACTTTCCTAAGACATCTTTCACTGTAATATGAAGCGTAATTTATCTAACCTGAAAAAAAACCAAAACAGAAAAAAAAGCCGACAACATTTTCCCTAGGCATTTCTTTCCCATGGTTCGATGTAATCCAATCCCAGATGTGCGAAAATTTCTTCTTCACTCTCTGCTTTGAGAAATATCCTCTGAAAACATAACAAGACATATGTGAATTCAGATATTTTTGTTAAGTGTCTCGGTGCTGACATAGTGAAAATGTAAAACTCTTGTCAGAACAAATTATTGTCAAAAACATAACCCCCTGTTTCTGAGGAGAAAAGTCATCTTAACTGACTTCTGTAATTTTTATATTTTCCCACTCCAAAATATTTAATAAATTAAGGTAAAATTATGACGGCCTTACATTTTCAGCTAAAGGCATTGGGTATTTTTTCCTAAGGGTCTGTCATTCTTAACCACAGTTGATCATTAGAACTACCTGAAGGATCTTTTGAAACACGCTGAAAACTGAGCTACACCCCAGTTCCAAGAAATCAGAATCTCAGGAGAGGGCTTGTCCTGAGAAAGGCTCTGCGAAAGTCTCACGCGCAGCCCCCACAGGCAGTGAGCAGTGGCGCTGACAGGACACTTGTATGTGCTGTATCTCCTCCGGCCTTCCACCCCTGCCCCGCCCCCACCAGGCTCCCACCCGTGATGTGATCTCTTTTAGACCAAGCATCATCTCTCCTCCAGCCCTTCTCGGCTATAGCGCGGCGTTGGGCATGTAGGAGGCACTAACATTGAACTATTTGTTATATGTCAATTTGTAAGTCTTCCTACATCGTGTTACATGAAGCTGCCTCTGCTCACCCGCTCGACAACTGAGGCTTTCCTGCCAGCATCCACGGCCCTCTCTACTGACAGCAGCACCTTCGTTTTTCTTTGGGAAGCCACCCTTCCCTACTCTCAGTCTCTGAGGGTCAGGTTGGGCTAATCCCACCTCCAAGGAGGGGCACACAACCCGAGCCTGGCCAATCAAAGCCATGGTAAAGGCGTCAGAGATGGTCACGTGGCCCAGGCCTGGTCAATGAGCAGCAACTGGAGCTCTTGCTGGAACTATTAGGAAAGAGGCTTTTCTCTGTTGGGGTGGCTAAGCTGGAAGGATGGGACTCACAGGGAAGCCCCATCTGAGAATGACACTAACACTGAGGGAACCCTGCATGAGGACCTGGATACAGCTGTATCTGAAGTCCATGTTACCCCAGATGCTACAGTATTTAAGTCAAATTCTTTTTTTTTTTTTGCCACTGCCACTTTGTACTGGGTTTCTGACACTGTGAGACAGCTCTATCTAAATACACCTTATTTAGACTATAAGCTCCTAAAGGGTAAAACCATTATTTCTAGTTATTTTGTGTCTTCTTCCTTGTCAGAGTCTAGTTTAGTGTCCTTGATCACTGTAAGAAGAGTCGATCCTGGCACTGGTGGATTTGACAGTTGAGTATTTAAGTCCTCCTAATTCATACAGTAATTTATCATTTTGCTGAGGCAGCACCTGGCTCGTGACCACTGCAGGGCCAGCACGACAAATGAGTCTCAGCTGGTGAGTGAGTCCAGCTGGCTGCTAATCCACATCTCAGGGCAGCTCTGCTGCTTTCCGTCTTGCAGGTGACTCACATTAATGACCTCTGTGGTCACTCAAACTGCTACTTCTCACTGCATTTGAGAGGTACTTGAGTGATATTTATGATTTGGGGGCATCCTTGGAATTACTCATTGCAGACACCAAGGATATACCAAACTCTGGACTGGTTCTGGAGGCCCAGCTAGCACATCGTCTTTGAGCCCAGAGCCTGTGAGCTGCATTCTGGGCCCGGTGGGGGCTGTGCTCCCACCAGGATCTTTCCGGCTGCCCTCAGCTGTGATCCTTGGGGACAGGGCCCTCGGGGCAGAGGAAACTGAACCTGGTCACTAAAATCAGGAAAAGTGCTCAGGGAGCCAGCCTTGGGGATGAGGACAGAGTAGCCCATCGCGGGGAGACAGCTCTACCTTGGTCTTGTCATACAAAGCGTGGTTATCCAGTATCATCTTCCGCTCGTGTGTGGCATAGCGCCGGAGGTCTCTCTCAAACTGCTGGATAAGAGATAATCAGAAAAAATTACTATCAAGTCTAGAACGTCTTCAGCATTATGTGTTAGAGATATTTAGATCCCTATAATGAAATATCTATCTATCTCCACTAAACATTCTCCAAGCGGTTTTCTCCCCCAGGGCAACAGCCTACTGGGACAAAACTCCACGCTCACAGGCACACACTAGACTGTAAGCTCCATGAAAACAGGAACCTGATTTGTTTTGTTCATAACCATATTCCTTCCTCAGAGAGTGCCTGGGACATAGAAGATGTACAGTAAGTGTTTGCTGAATGAATAAATGGATATCGTGAAGGTTGTGTTCAGAATAATGACTGGCCCAGAGTAAATGCTGGGTAAATCATAGTTCGTTTTTTTTTTTTTTTCAGTTTGAAATATCACTATTGTAAAAGAGGATGAGGAGTCAGGAGACCCAAATTTCAGCCTGAATTTTGTCCCTGTCTGGCTGTGTATCTCTTGGTAAGTCACCTAGCCTCTCTAAATCTTGGCTGGTCAAACAGGAGAGTGGAAGAAGTACATGACTAAGGTCGCCTTTGGCTGTAACATCCTCTCATATGAGATTCTGTAAAACTGGTGGTTTGAGTGACCTGCTCCTGAGTAGAACCTCCTATGATCAGGGTGGGCTCTGGGGCTCCAGGGAGCAAAACCTGAAGCCTTAGAGGACAGGAAATCCTTAGAAAAGGAGGATAATGAATGAAATTGTCACTGGGGTTAATCTTCCTGAGAGGAGCACAGATCTGGAAATGTGGTCCTTTCCCGGTGGGATTAGGGAGCAAGCGTGGAATCGTCACGCCCTCTAGTGGCGAGTATAGGAAAGCTGGCAGAGACTGGGAACTGGGTGTGTGAGAAGACAGACTTTTCAACCAGAAGTCCTTTATAAGGTAGTGGAGGGGGAGCCAGGGCTGGAGAAGAATCGGGGTGAAGCAGATTTGGGGTGAAGTAGCTGCTGGTCTGTGAAAGTATGGGAGTGTTGCTTAGCACATGGCCTCCTCCGCAGCCCTGGACCACTCGCCTCCTGTCTCCCCAGCATTTAGAGCAATGGCTGCTTAACCCGGCAAGGGGGAGGCTGGAGAGGGTCAGGTAATGGTGCAGTGAGAGGCCACCCTTGGCTCCCCAGTTCTGTGTGACAAGAAATCTATTCCTGGACTCCTCTGCTAAAACCTCAGGGGCATTTCCCATAGACTGTTAGGAGTTATAATGAGGTCTTCCATTTGGAGAGTAATAACATTTACTCAACCAATATTTATTGAGCACCTACTACATGCCAGGCATGTTCTGGGTGCTTGGAATAAAACAGAGAACAAAAACAATGGTGTCTTCCTTGGTGGTGCTTGGATTCAAGCCGGGGACACAGACAAGACCCAGTAACAGAATGAGTCAGTTATAAGTTACAAGGTAATGCTGTGTACAGGACAGAGCTCATTAAAAAGGGAGGATTTGAGCAAGGACTTACCCCAGGAGAAGGAGTTAGCCAAGTGGACTCGGGGGACAGCCAGAACGGAGGCCTTAGGGAGGGATGAGGCTGGCGGGTTTAGGGAGTGAGCAATCAGAGAGGCGTCTGGGAGACAAGGGGGTGGGAAGATCGCACAGGGCCTCGTGGCCACTGGAAGACCTTCAGCATTTCTTCTGAGTTGTATGGGGAGCCCCTGCCAGGTTTTGAGCAGGGGAGTGACCTGATCTGACTTATGTTATGACAGGATAACTTGGCTGTAGCAGGCAAGGGCAGAAGCAGGGAGACCAGTTAGAACAGCCATGGCCATAATCCAGGCAATAATATCCTAGTTAACGTCTATGGAGAGCTTACCCTGTGCTAGGCACTGGGTTGATTTATTGTTTTATACTAATTCCTGATTTGTTCTATTATTGCTTGTACTTAACAGCCTCTAAAAGAGTTTAATATTACCTCTAAAAGAACAGTTCTGAGTACATAATTAGCCTCAAAATTGTGCTAAAATGAAGGTACTCTTTCATTTCATCCTCATTATAATCCTGTGAGGTTGGTTGCTTTTATTAGCATCGTTTTTCAGATGAAGAAAGGAGGCCCAGAGAGCCTAAGTAATTTACCCAAGGCCACAGAGCCAACAATAGAGCTAGGATGCAGACTCCTGAATCCCAAAGCTCAAGCTCAATCTCTTTACCCTGGACAATTCTGACTTCTGCTTTACAACCTTTTTAGTTTCTCTCAGCAATGCTCTTGAGATAAGTAGGGCAAGAATGCTGTCTTGTTTTAGATAAAGAAAGCTGAACATTGATCAGGGGCAGTGGTAGGTACTACAGTCTGGCTGTATCGTTGGTCATAACTGAGTTCAGGCCCAGGGCTGCTGCATACAGTTGTGCAGGTTGTGCACTGCAAAATTCTAGAGGGTGCCATTCACTTGTGTAAGTCTTTGTAAGTATGCATGTTTCTTATGACTATTTTCTAGAAAATGGCAGTAAGGTATCTTAAGGAAGAGATGCTTCTAAAGTTGGCGAAAAGGGGCCATTTGGTTTAGAAAGAGGCTGGGTCAGCCTAGGCACTTGGCCACAATTGTCTGTGTATTTCCAGAGGGGAGAGTGTGCCTCCTCTCAGCATCTGACACAAACACGGACAATACTCTTGAAGGAAAAAGCGGAAAGAGTCACGCTGACAAACAGCAGATCTGCTTTGAAGAAACATGATTCAGGAGAAAACAGAACTTTCTTTTGTCTTTTTAACTAATGAACTCTGTACTCAGCTCAGAAACTGCACCATGCCTGCATGCTTCTAGAAAAACCTCAGTTTACTGTGTCCCTGTGAATGTCTCCTGCTCAGGAAATCTTTAGGGCACAAAGATCCTAAGGAAGCTTTGTCAGCTCCAAAGTTCAGACAGCCTGGTAAGTTAATGACCCCAAGCTGAGGTGAGATTAATAGGTAACCCGAATTGGCTTGAGAACACTTCCCAGGCCCTGAAATCTCTGGGTAAACAGGTGAAACTGCATTTCTCACCTACAAAAGTTTAGACTAGACCTAGTCCTGGTCACCCACCAACATGTATTCACTTGGGGACAAAGCATATCACATTCAGTGGTCACGTAACAAGGGGGATGGAAAGATAGTAGCACACGTAGCTACCATTTGCAGGGCCCTTGCCGCCTTTAAACGCACGCGTGTCTTTTAACCAGGCGGCAACCTTAGGACGTGGGCGCCCCTATTATCCACAGTACAGCTGGGGCAACTAGGGCTTGAAGAGGTTATCATTTGTTTAAAATTAGAGTTGTGGCTGAAAGTGGCAGAGCTGAGTGCCCTGTCAGTGCCCCGCAGAACTGACAGCGGTCATTTCTGAGAACTCTGAGAAACGAGACTAAAATGTGCTTAAAAACAAAATGGACAAAGAGCAACCATTCCTGCCGGTGATTCCCGACCAGCACGACTTCATGAAAGAATTTTGGAACTCTCCCCTTTCTCAACAGACTCTATTCCCAAAGAGGTGTATCTGTCAGACAAACTGCATTGTGATGATCATCAGCTGTCCCAGGTTTTATGAATGAAAGATGCCGGCCAGGGTTTTTGATGAGGGTAAGAAGTTCTAGTGCTAAGACCCTGTGCTGCAATAATTCCAGCCCAAAGCAAACACGCCTGACATTTAAATCCAGGTGAAGGACCATTAATTTATGTTATGTTGTTCGTTGTATAAAACCCTCTGAGGGCTCACATCACTCAAAGCAACAGCCAGCTACTTGGGAAAACAGTGGGGGCGGGGGAGTTGGTTGGGAGGGTGGAGCCCAAGCTAATGGGACAAATCGCAGGCGCCATGTCTGTGAATGTCACATGGTGGGGAGCTGGGAGCTGCCGCTCGGCCAGCGCTGGCCCCATGGTGCTGGGAGCTTGCCAGCTTCATCTCACCGATCCCTGCAACCCAGGAAGGTAGCAGAGTCTTCCCCTTGACTTTCCTGATGGGAAAACTAAGTCCTAAAGGACACAGGGAACTTGACCAAGATCACCCAGCTGCAAGGGCAGACCTGGTCCGGGAGAAACTGAACCTGAGCCCTCAGCCGCCAGGCTGCTTTCGCTGCTTCAGCGGTTCTCACCCTTGAGCTGTAGGTCTGGGGTCGGGCGGAGAACATGTCTAACCTGTTCCCAGGCAAGGCTGATGCTGCTGGTGAGGGGATCGCATTGTGAGAACGACTCTTCGGAATGCATCTGTCTCACTTGACCACGTGCAGGTGAAATGCTCTGATTTAGAGGTTTCTGGGCACTTCCCCTCCCCTTCTACCCCCCACCCCACCCCTGCTGCCACTGTCTCTCCCCTGGGCCCAGGTGGACCCAGTCTACCTCATCCCCTGGATCCAGGTAGTGCTTACCTTGGAGCCGGTCCAGCCCAGCAGGGCAAAGGCACGGTGCTCATAGGGGCACATGACCAAGTCCACACGGATGGCCTTCCAGGTCTTTCCTTCCTGCCGCCTGGACAGGCCACTGTCTACTCGCTGATGGTGCAATTTTAAAATCAGAAAACACTTTTGAAAATGATCTAAAGCATCCACCTTCCTGCTTGGCAACTTGGACTTTTCAAATGTTGACTCCACAAGGTCACAGTATAAAAGTAACTCCTGAAAATAAACAGAGATGTCAGGATGAGTCCGTGGTGGACAGGGTGGGTGACTTGATGCTGGACTCCAAACGAACACTCTTAAGGAAAGATTTGAGCAGAACACGACTGTGTTTTGGCCTTGCCTTTGAGCCCACCGGGCAACACCAGCAGAGGAAGCCAAGGAGCAGGTGTACTGCCCTCCCTCTGCAGCAGAGGAATTTAGTGATTAGAGAGGCCGAGCCAAGGCCAGTTCATGGCAAAGCCGCCAGAGAATCCATGCCAGAGAATCCACTCCCCCAACGTCTGATCGCAGACCAGTACCCAGAAACTTGCCACACCCCTTCAAGCACAAACCAGCCTTGAACAGAAAGCTGAGCCATTTTCATGCAGTTGCTTTGACTTAGTTTCCCTCCACTTTATACCGGTGACCAGGCTTCCTTGGTCCAAAGGGATGTGGCTGGAGACTCAGCCCCGCTTTTGGGCAGGACGACTCACTCTTCTTAGGGAGCACTTTGAGACCATTACTCTGCCTGCCTTGGAGGCTGGGATAAAGTTAGGGGCATGTCACCTAATGTCGCCTAGTCAGAGGGTTATGCTTGGCAAGCTGCCTTCCCCCAACTTATCTGCTCTGTGGGAATTCCTCACGGCTCAAGGCAGACATGGGGTACAGAGAAGCAGAAAGATGCAATTAACTGCTAAATGTGAGTAGCAACTAAAAGAGCAAATAACCTTAAAATAATCTAATCATAGATATTAGGGTGTATGACTTGTTACCATGTATTCTTTAGATCAGAAGTTCTCAAATATTATCAGAAGCGTTTGGAAGGTTTGTTAAAGCAGTTTGGGAGGCCCTAACCCAGAGTGATTCATTTGCTGTGGGGGAGGAGGGGCCTGAGTTTGCATTTCTAACAAATTCCCAGGTGGTGCTGTTGCTTCTGATCCAGGGACCACACTGGGAGCATCACTGGTTCCGTTTATTATTGTTATCAAAAATGCTTTGCGTTTCTTCTGCAATCCACGCCACCCCCACCAAGAGTCCTTGTTTCAATTCAGCTCAGCACTTTGAGGAGGGAATGCTTTTTCTTTTGCTGATCTTCAGTGCCTCCCCAGAAAAGGGATGAGGAAGAACTGACACCATCTGAAGGCTGGTGGGGAGCACTGAGTCAGAAAGAGCCTCTGGTGGAGGAGGCAAGTGTCGCCGTAGACAAATCTAATAACCTGCTCGGGGAAGACACCATTCTGCTTTTTAATGAAATTTACTAAGGTTAGTCAGCATAGCAGCCTTTCATGTCAATTTGAATTATGTAAACTTGAAAAGCAAGCTATTAAAATATCACCAAGTCTCACTTTGAAGCCAAATCTATCATAACAACCCCACCCCCTTAAAAAAAAGTTCACAAAGCTGGCTTCCTAAAAGTTGTAACCTGTGTTTGCACTACTGCCACATGGTGGTGACACTTGGCTGGTAACAGACAGATGGGTCCACCCGCGGGCATGAACCCAGAGCAGCTCAGTCAGCCCTCCCTAATTTGGGTTGAACTGCTGGTGGCCAGTGAGAAGTCAGGCCAGGGGAGTCTTCCGGATGGCTCCCTCCACCCCCTTCACCCACAAAGATCAGTATTTCCAAGCTCTTTTCTTCCCTTTCTCCCCTCCCCTGACCAAGAGGCCTTCTACAAGGACAGCACGTAGATTCATCTCATGGGCGGCTCAAACTCATACCTATTGGCTGTTCATTATGTTCTGCAGTTGTTTTAAAACCTTGAATGTGTATATGGGTGTGGGTCGTGTGAATATATGCTCGTGTGTGCCTGCATGGGATACAATCTTTTTAACCTGAAAAGTGCAGATTTTGGTTAAAAAAAAAAGGCAGGAGTGAGGGAGAGGTGGAAGTTAAACATGATTCATAACTGAGGTGTTGGGAGCAGGCGTGGGGCTTCAGGGGTGCGGGCAGAGCTGGGACACCCGCAGCCCCACAGCGTCTCCTCCCAGAGGTCCTGTTTGCCAGTGAGCCAAGGGGAGCAGCCGCTTGTGTTCTCTCCTGGGTTGCCTCGCCTGGCACAGGGCCTGGCTGCGGGGA